AACAACAAACACCGACACCGAGCTCGCCAATTCATAGTCAGACTGATATCTGACCATCGTCATGTGTCTCGTAATTCCACAACAAGTTGTCATGCTGCAACACAAGCCAACCTGAAACGGCTGCTCACATGACTAGCTCGTATTAGCGTATACGTTTCACACACTCACCTGAAACCCTAATCCTACCAGACACGGAAGATCACTGACGAACGTCTCATGCAGACCAGACGACGACGTGGTGGCGATCGGTGGAGAAGCCTGTGACGACTGATGTTCACTTCTTCCGTGGTCTATGCAGACCGTCTAAACTCTGTTTTACCAACAAGCCTCATCGGAACCTATCCATTTGTGTCGCGTGTGTCTGAGAATATCTGTCAAATGTTTGTGTAGACGAACTGTTCTGGGGAGAGAGAAAGTCGCATCACCATGCAAACCAACCTACCGAATGCTCAGCTCCACTATCCACTCTTCAACAGGTCGACACCTAACCCCTGACAAAAGTGTCGCCGAAGTACACAAACAGTTGCACAATTCTGTCGAGATAATAATCTCACATGATATGCTCCAAGTGTATCGGAGTCGAGTGAAAAACAGGTTTCCGGTGGTACGCTCGTCTCTCTCTCTCTCTCTGTGCATTGCTCAACATTCAACGCTTCTCGTTGAATGAGTTCGTGTTAGAATTAACCGGACGGGAGCTCCTCAATTATTTCCACTGAGTCCAACTGACGATAGACTATGACGGTGCTGTTGACAGCTGGGTATATAATATCATCAGCTCCGGTGTTCCAATTGATTGATCGTCTTGTAAGTGGTTTAGTTGACTGGAGTCGATGCCTACTTGTATGTGAACTTGTGAGTTTCGAGTTGAACAGGGACGAGTGTGTTTCGTCACGGTTGGTGATCAGTGGTGACAGTTAGTAAAATTGCCACGACTGGAACATGATCTCAATTCGAAGTGGTTGCAAACACACTGCCTCCAGGGAGGATCGAACTCCCGACCCCTGGTTTACTAGACCAGTGCTCTATCCACTGAGCTATGGAGGCGCATCCGTGTGTCACCAACACCAAACTCATCACAATACAACTCACAAATATCCTACTACAAACACCTCCACACACACACACACACACACTCACACTCACACTCACACACAACATCACCTCAAAACAAACACAAACAATCCACGTCCTACAACTGACTCCATCCACTCTTACAAACACCACATTTATACATCAACAACAAACACCGACACCACAACTTCGACTACCACATAACTAGCACGACACCTGAAAATCACACATATTATCAAGTAACATCAACATATTCCCACTTACTACAGACACCTCCGAATCACACCAACCCATTCATTATCCTTATCAACGAACACCCCAACAATTCGCTCTATGCTTGGTCAATTGCTACAAATACATTCTGCACTTCTATATATCTATATCTATATAGATGGAAATATCTACACATATATTGATTCGTGTATATTTAGATACATGTATATACATTCATAACTACAAGATATTCTGTCCGTGTCAATTACTGCACGCATGAATATACTGAGGCTCTACTTGAATCATTTCACCACGATCTCTGACCATTTTGATTAGTCACAGTCACAGTAGGATAATAACAATCCGCAAATCCCATGTTCTAAAGACACGAGCAAATTCAGAACGAAATGCGTCACACCGAGCTCGCCAATTCATAGACAGACTGATATCTGACCATCGTCATGTGTCTCGTAATTCCACAACAAGTTGTCATGCTGCAACACAAGCCAACCTGAAACGGCTGCTCACATGACTAGCTCGTATTAGCGCATACGTTTCACACACTCACCTGAAACCCTAATCCTACCAGACACGGAAGATCACTGACGAACGTCTCATGCAGACCAGATGACGACGTGGTGGCGATCGGTGGAGAAGCCTGTGACGACTGATGTCCACTTCTTCCGTGGTCTATGCAGACCGTCTAAACTCTGTTTTACCAACAAGCCTCATCGGAACCTATCCATTTGTGTCGCGTGTGTCTGAGAATATCTGTCAAATGTTTGTGTAGACGAACTGTTCTGGGGAGAGAGAAAGTCGCATCACCATGCAAACCAACCTACCGAATGCTCAGCTCCACTATCCACTCTTCAACAGGTCGACACCTAACCCCTGACAAAAGTGTCGCCGAAGTACACAAACAGTTGCACAATTCTGTCGAGATAATAATCTCACATGATATGCTCCAAGTGTATCGGAGTCGAGTGAAAAACAGGTTTCCGGTGGTACGCTCGTCTCTCTCTCTCTCTCTCTCTCTCTCTCTATCTCTCACTCTCTCTGTGCATTGCTCAACATTCAACGCTTCTCGTTGAATGAGTTCGTGTTAGAATTAACCGGACGGGAGCTCCTCAATTATTTCCACTGAGTCCAACTGACGATAGACTATGACGGTGCTGTTGACAGCTGGGTATATAATATCATCAGCTCCGGTGTTCCAATTGATTGATCGTCTTGTAAGTGGTTTAGTTGACTGGAGTCGATGCCTACTTGTATGTGAACTTGTGAGTTTCGAGTTGAACAGGGACGAGTGTGTTTCGTCACGGTTGGTGATCAGTGGTGACAGTTAGTAGAATTGCCACGACTGGAACATGATCTCAATTCGAAGTGGTTGCAAACACACTGCCTCCAGGGAGGATCGAACTCCCGACCCCTGGTTTACTAGACCAGTGCTCTATCCACTGAGCTATGGAGGCGCATCCGTGTGTCACCAACACCAAACTCATCACAATACAACTCACAAATATCCTACTACAAACACCTCCACACACACACACACACACACACTCACACTCACACTCACACTCACACACAACATCACCTCAAAACAAACACAAACAATCCACGTCCTACAACTGACTCCATCCACTCTTACAAACACCACATTTATACATCAACAACAAACACCGACACCACAACTTCGACTACCACATAACTAGCACGACACCTGAAAATCACACATATTATCAAGTAACATCAACATATTCCCACTTACTACAGACACCTCCGAATCACACCAACCCATTCATTATCCTTATCAACGAACACCCCAACAATTCGCTCTATGCTTGGTCAATTGCTACAAATACATTCTGCACTTCTATATATCTATATCTATATAGATGGAAATATCTACACATATATTGATTCGTGTATATTTAGATACATGTATATACATTCATAACTACAAGATATTCTGTCCGTGTCAATTACTGCACGCATGAATATACTGAGGCTCTACTTGAATCATTTCACCACGATCTCTGACCATTTTGATTAGTCACAGTCACAGTAGGATAATAACAATCCGCAAATCCCATGTTCTAAAGACACGAGCAAATTCAGAACGAAATGCGTCACACCGAGCTCGCCAATTCATAGACAGACTGATATCTGACCATCGTCATGTGTCTCGTAATTCCACAACAAGTTGTCATGCTGCAACACAAGCCAACCTGAAACGGCTGCTCACATGACTAGCTCGTATTAGCGCATACGTTTCACACACTCACCTGAAACCCTAATCCTACCAGACACGGAAGATCACTGACGAACGTCTCATGCAGACCAGATGACGACGTGGTGGCGATCGGTGGAGAAGCCTGTGACGACTGATGTCCACTTCTTCCGTGGTCTATGCAGACCGTCTAAACTCTGTTTTACCAACAAGCCTCATCGGAACCTATCCATTTGTGTCGCGTGTGTCTGAGAATATCTGTCAAATGTTTGTGTAGACGAACTGTTCTGGGGAGAGAGAAAGTCGCATCACCATGCAAACCAACCTACCGAATGCTCAGCTCCACTATCCACTCTTCAACAGGTCGACACCTAACCCCTGACAAAAGTGTCGCCGAAGTACACAAACAGTTGCACAATTCTGTCGAGATAATAATCTCACATGATATGCTCCAAGTGTATCGGAGTCGAGTGAAAAACAGGTTTCCGGTGGTACGCTCGTCTCTCTCTCTCTCTCTCTCTCTCTCTCTCTATCTCTCACTCTCTCTGTGCATTGCTCAACATTCAACGCTTCTCGTTGAATGAGTTCGTGTTAGAATTAACCGGACGGGAGCTCCTCAATTATTTCCACTGAGTCCAACTGACGATAGACTATGACGGTGCTGTTGACAGCTGGGTATATAATATCATCAGCTCCGGTGTTCCAATTGATTGATCGTCTTGTAAGTGGTTTAGTTGACTGGAGTCGATGCCTACTTGTATGTGAACTTGTGAGTTTCGAGTTGAACAGGGACGAGTGTGTTTCGTCACGGTTGGTGATCAGTGGTGACAGTTAGTAAAATTGCCACGAC